CCTGGAACCACAAAAGCAGATGGCTTCTGTTGAAGATCTGTTCCTGTCTGTTTCCTTTATGGCCAAGTGCTGCTTATAAAGGATCACCATATGGTTGTGGTTTTCCTTCCTGGGGTATTTGTCTTAGTCTTAAGGTGCCTTGAGACTAATGTTCTTATGAACTGGATGTATAACTACAGCTTAATTGAATTAAATGCTACTCTGGTTGCATGTGTAGTGGAGGATCTGTCACATTATGTGCTGTTGTAAATCAACCAGCCTATGAGTAAAACCATAGGCTCGTGAAATTATTGTGCACAAGGGGTCACTCTAGAGCGACTCTAGTTGAGTTTCGTAGTTCAATACTCAGTTTCAATTCCTGTCAGATAACATCAGATGATGTCTGCAGCCCCATTTCACCGAAAAGTCAGTTTAGTCCAAAGCAACAAAAGTATTTTTTTCATGTTAAACACTCCATCTTTCCGGTTGGTGTTGGACAGAATATCTAAGCATGGCAAGGTGGTGGAGGGTCTTTGTTTGGTTTTTTTTGAGATGGTGTGTTCATCATGCGGTAACCTTCTGCTTCGAATGGAGCAGTTTGTGACTGAGTGTGAAGCAGCAGGAATGAGAACCAGCACTTCCCATTCCAAGACCAGGATCCTACCGGGAGGAGGCCCCAGGGCAGACCCTGGACTCACTAGAGATTGTATCTCTCAGCTGGCGTGGGAACGTGAGTTAGAGGAGTTAGGTGGGGTGTGGGAAGTCTAGGCTTCTCTGTTCAGATTGTTACCCCTGGGCCCAAGCTCGGATGCGAGGCAGGAAAATGGATGGATGAATGGATATTTTGATATTTGCATTTACTTATTACTTACTATTTTAATTATTATTACACATTTAAAATTTTTAAAAAAACTAGAATTACTTTTTAAAATATTTTATTCTCATAGATAAATCACCACAGAAGTCCATCCATCCATCCATCTTCATCCGCTTTATCTGAGGCTGGGTCGCGGGGGCAGCAGCCTAAGCAAAGAGGCCCAGACCTCCCTCTCCCCAGCCACCTCCTCCAGCTTATCCG